TCAATACCATAAAGATTTAAAAAAATAGCTTTTTTTTTTTTAATTAATTAGTTTTAAAAAAATTGAAATTACCACAAAGTAACAATAATTACTTCATAATTATAATAATGAATATTTATCTCTGTATGCTTTATTAACTGGGTGCTCGGTGATTTTGCTAGAGTACTGAACAAACAAATTAATAAGGAGCATGTAGAGTTGCTTCTACGATTTTGATGTATTTATATATATTTTTAAATGCTTTGAACTAGTGATCCTTAACTATGTGACCCACTTCATTCAGCATTCTTTAATTTCAATAGGCATTTATTTACTTTAATAAAAATCTTTATTTTTATTAAAAATTTAAATCCTTATTGAACATTAATTATTAATTAATTGTAAATTACTTATTTATTTGTTATGAGTTACACTCAGCAATTAATATATATTGGTGTTGAATTAACAAACATAAACAATTAATGACAATACAAAAAATTTTATAAATATTAATTACATGAAAATTTTATTGTTATATATATATAATTTTCTCTTACAAAATTAATTAAATCCTACTTCGTTAAAAAAGAAGAATCATTTTTTTTTTTTTTTTTTTGTGTGCATGACCAACTTCGTATTCTTCATTTAAGTAGTCCTTTTATTTTCTAAAAGGGTTAATAAAGCCTTTTATTAACCAATAATTGACTGCATTATCTAACTATTAATTTATTAATGTTAGAATTACCGAACAATAGTTATAAATAATTTTTTTTTTCCGTATGAACATTACCTTACTTATAATAATTACAATAATTTCTACATTTAATGGACTATTATTTGGATAATTTTAATTTTTAAATATACAATACATATATTATTTTAAAGATTTTAATACCATGAAGCAATATGTATAAATGTAAGATAATATTATATTTTACGTATTTTTAGTTGGAAAAACTCCATTTATATATGATATTAAAAAAATATAAATCATAAAAACTCACTTTTATTAAATATACAACAATTTTTTAAAGTAAAATGAGCCTTAAAACATTAAGAAGATAGTATTTATGCATAAACTTTTTTATTTATGTTATATCAAAGATTCATACAAATTAAATTAAAAAAATAAATGTTCTTAATAAAATTCTTTATTAATGCTTACAGAGATGTCTTATAGCACTTAAATATTTTAGAAGAAAGTAAAATGTGAAAGGAACAATTGCTGAACTCTTTTTTATTATATAAATAATTTTTTAATTGTTCTTTCTGTGATCTTGCTAGTTTGGAAAAAATAAATTAATAAAAAGCATGTAGAAAATGCTCATTCATTTTATCTTTATGAGATTATTCACTTTTATTATTTATATCAAATATTAAATGAATGAATTAAGTACTATTGTTGTTAGTTTGAACTGTATCTCATGTATGTCACATTAGATATTACATTTTTAATTTTTCATAAAAAAAAAAATAATAAAATATATCCACATTTTTTTCATATTGTATTCATTTTCAGAGCAAGCATTTTTTTTAAATGCATTTACTTTTATAGAAAGTATTTTTTTTTAGATGCATTTACTTTTAGAGCAATTGTTTTTATTAAACGTATTTACTTTTAGTGATAGTTTTTTTTTTAAGATACTTACTTTCTTTACGCTTTCATGTATGCCTATTTTCCTTGAAATATGACATATACAACTAAAAATGTTTTTTCTATATTTATTTAAATATTATTTAAAATAGGTCGATAACATTGTTTATAGTCCAATAATTGAGTTACTTAGATTTTATGAGAAGGATAAGGAAAAATAAAAGAATAGCAATAAATATATATACAAATAAAATATAACAAAATAAAAAATAAAATAAATACATTCTCATAATAATTATAAGATTTCGATTATGTATAAAAAGGCAAAAAAAAAAGGCACATAACTTTTTTTTCACATTTAATTATAAGATAATGATAATGCACATGCAAAAGAATATGTTATAATTCTATTTTATATTTATTTATTGATACATTTGGTATCATAATGAAAATATATTTCCTTGTATTTTCTAAGAAAAAATTCATAATATTTAGTTAAAGATATGCCTTTTTAGTTAATATAATAATTAACATTTTTATTAAATTTAATGTTTGTACCTATGATTATTAGTTACAAAAAAAAAAAAAATTTATAAATATATATTTTTACAATATGTTTCATATAAAAAAGAATTTTGTTCATAGTTTTTAGATTAATTAAAAAAGTAAATTTTCCAAAAAATAAGTAATCATTTTTTGAAATGTGCTTTATACTGTATACATATGATTAAAAAAAAGTTTTTTTTTTTTTTTTTTTTTTTTAAATTGTTATTAATTTAGAGTGCTCTTTTACGTGATATATTATTATAATTTCTTCAAAATAGATATGTTTTCACTTTTTCTTTTGAATTTGTGCATTTCATAATTTTTTTTTATTTTGTGAAAAGTAATTGAAAAAGGAAATTTTTTTTTTAAAAAATATTTATAAGGATAAAAAATAATTACATATACATATATTATATAAACATGTATTAATAACAAAAATAAATGGAAAACATAAAGATAAAAAAAAATATAATAGAAAAATCAAAATAGTTACATTTAAAGCAAAAACATGCACAATTAAAAATTAGTTTCATATATAATTATAAACGACTACAAATATAGTATGCTGTATGAAAAATACATGCATAGAAAAATTTCTGCTTTATAGTGTTTTTTTTTTTTTTTTTGTTCTTTTTTTTTGATGGAGATATAATATCTCTGATATATGTTAATTTATATCTATAAATAACAAACACCACATATAAAATATTTTAAAGTTTAACGTGATTCACAGATAAAAAACTAATAGTTAAACAAAAAAAAAAAATAAAAAAAAATTCATTGACATTTAATATATAACATTTATAATTTTAATTTATTTCAAATTAACATTATATAATTTTTTTCATATATTTTAAGGATGAATATAATTTTAATGAAATATTTTTAAAATAACTTTACATATTTAAAAATTTTTTTCTTTAACTTATAAATATACGTTCTTATTTATTTTATTTTTTGAAAAGTTATTAGTATTAATCTTACATAAAGTAAAAGTAATATTATGTATAATTATGAAAAATTCAGAATTACATTTCATATAAACGAATAATTTTTTACCTTAAAAATTTATAAAATTTACAAAGATCACAATATTACCTGAAGCAATATTACATACCTCTAACTTATCATTAGTAAAGATAGAAGCAATTTTGTAAATGGATTAATATCTCTAACTTTAATATTAAACTATAATAGTATTAAAATGAAAACATTTACTTTATATTTAAAAATTTTTACATTTCTTCTTTTAATTTGGATATTCCATTGTTTTTACAACGTAAGATAAACTTCATATAAAAAAAACACATATAAATATATTTTATTTCTAATCATTTTAAAAATTTTACTCAATTTATTACTACAACAAATGAAAAAAAATTTTAAATAATTTTTTTTTTAATCCCATAGTATGATTCCAATAAGTCATTGATTAATAGAGATATATTACAAACAAAAATTGGATTAAAACACAAAAGAATGTTAGCAGATGGTGATAAATCAGAAAAAAAATCATCTTATATTAAAAAACGTGTAGAATATTATCCATCTGGTGATATGGAGATTGAACTTTATGAGTTGGTTCATTTAATGGATATGTATTTTAAATTTTATAACGCTAATATTTTATCAAGGTATGTAGAAGAAGTTTTATTTAAAAAAGAAAATGAAATGAGATATAAATGTAGAGATAAAATATTGAATGCCTATCGAAAGAATATTTCAGTAGAAAGGGTACTAGAATCTTTTAACTGTCTCATTAGTGTCGTATTACAAACGTAAAAAGAAAAAAATAATTGATAGAATTTCAAAAAATCTTCATTTATATTATAAAAAATTTTTATGTCAATATAAAGAACAAGAAAAAAATAAAATGAAAATAAGAAATAAAATATTAAAAACTAGAAAATTAGATAAAAAAAGACTTTGTTAACCATTATTAAAATAAAAATTAATATATGAAAAGAAAATACTTAATAAGCCATGCACAAGTGCTAGTTAAAAAAAATTAATATTTTGCTTTACATTTTTTTATAGAAATATATTTTATTTTCTTTATGGGAAAAAAATAAAATTGTTAAAAGAGAAAAAATCTTTAGGAAGAAATATTTTTATAAAAGTATTTTATATTTTTTAGAGTAAAATTTTATCTGTTAGTGATATTAATATAATTTATATTTTTTTTTGTTCTTTTAAGAAAAAAAGAACTTGAATAAATGAAAATTATTCATTAAAAGTTATAGATGAATATTTTGTACTTAAATATTATTGTTTAATGAAAGTTTCTGTTCTTAATAAAAACATAAGATTTTTATTAATGTAAATAAATTCTCAATAAGCTACATAATTTACATTTCACAGGTTTATAGTATCGAAATTATATTTAAATTCATTAAATTAATAGAGAATGTTTTAGATTTTTTTTATTAGTTTTTCTATTTATTACTTGATATATTAATTACTCGTTCAATGACTTTAGTAATATTAAAAAAAAAAAAAAAATAATAAAGAACACATAGAGAAAATTTTACTTGTTTTCTTTTTTTTTTAATTAAAGTATATTATAAATTATTTACTTTCAATAATTAACATAAAATAATAATTGAGTTATTTAATTATTATTGTTATTAATTTACACAATATGCCATGCATATCACGTTTTTACATTTCATTTTTAATATTCAAAAAAAAAATATTATAGATCATCTCCATTTAAAAAAAATAAAATTTTTTTTTTTAAGATAGTAAATTATTTTTAAAAGAAAATAATAAAAAAAAAATTATTGTCAAAAGAAAATAAATTATTTTTTTTTTCCAAGTTAGTGTTACAACAAAAAAAAATATAATAAAATATGTCTATATTTTTTTTTCTTATATTTACTTCTAGAGAGAGTAATTTCTTAAGTGTACGCATTTATGTGTTTACCTTTTTCCAGTATTCTAACATGCTGATTTACTAATTGGATGTTTGGTGACTTTTCTAGAGTACTAAAAAAACAAATTAATAAAGAGTATGTAGAGTTTCCTCTTCGATTTGACGTATTTATATATATTTTTAAATACTTTGAACGAGTGATCCTTAATCATGTAATCTACTTCATTCAGCATTTGGTTAATAAAAACCTTCATTAACTTTTTTGGTAATAAAAAGGACTGCCTATATAAAGAATGCGTAGCTCGTTTTTGATTTATTAACTGGGTGTTCGATGACTTTACTAGAATACTGAACATACAAATTAATAAAGAGCATGTAGAACTGTTTGTACGATTTTGTTGTATTTACATATATTTTTAATATGTTTTGTACGAGTGATTCTTAATTATGTGCTCTACTTTGTTCAGCATTCTTTAATTTCAATAGGCATTTATTTATTTTAATAAAAATCCCTATTTTTATTAAAACTTTAAATCCTTATTGAATATTTATTATTAATTAAATGTATATTACTTATTTCCTTGTTATGATTTATTTTCAGTAATTTAAATGTATTGCTGTTGAATTAACAAACATAAACAATTAGTAAAAATGTAAATAAATTATAAGAATATTAATTACGTGAAAATTTTATTATCACATGTATAAAATTTTCTCTCACAAATTCAAAATATAAATATTATGCAAATTAAAATCTTTTATAAACACATTATCTTTTGTAAAATAAATCTCTCCCTCAATAAATCCCTTCTCTTTCCAAAAAAAAAAATAAAATCTTTTTTTTTTTTTTTTTTTACTTACCACAACCATCTACCTATTCTACACATAGCTAGTCCTTTTTATAGTTAAAAAGGTTAATGAAGCCTTTTATTAACCATTTGTGCACAAGCGAAAGAAAAAAAAAAAAAAAAAGGAAAAAAGAAAAAAATTATTGAATTTATTTTTCTTATTTTTCTTTTAAAAAATTGGAAATACGTAAAAGAAATATATTTATTTTTTTTCGAAAAGATTTAGTGAAAGAGGGAAAATTGGTAAAATAAAAATTGAGAGTAAGATTTAGTACCAATAAAAATGAGATCTTAAACAGATAATAATGTTTATATAAAAGAGTTTAATTTGCATAATATTTATATTTTTAATTTGTGAGAGAAAATTTTATGGATACAAATTAAAATTTTCACGTAATTAATATTCATATAATTAATTTGCATTTTTACTAATTCTTTATGTTTTGTTAATTCAACAGCAATATATTTAAATTGATTGACATAAATCATAACAAAAAAATAAGTAATATATATTTAATTAATAATCAATATTCAATAAGTATTTAAATTTTTAATAAAAATAAGGATTTCTATTAAAATAAATAAATGCCTATTGAAATTAAAGAATGCTAAATGAAGTAGATTACGTAATTAAGGATCACTAGTTCAAAGCATTTAAAAATATATATAAATACATAAAAACCGTAGAGGTATCTCTACATGTTCCTTATTAATTTATTTCATCAGTACTCTAGTGAAGTCACCGAACATCCAGTAATAAAACAGTACTCTAGCAAAGTTATTGAATAAGAAATAAATAAATTAATATTTCAACTGAACAATTAATCATTTCAAAAAAAAAGTAAATATGTATTTTTTTTTTGTATTTAAAAATTAGAAAAAGAAAACAATTAAATTAACAATTAATTTTTTTTTCTTTTTTTTTTTTTTTGAATCTAGATCTTGCATGTATAACTATATATTTTCCACACAACTATTACCGTTTATTCTCAAAAAGGTTAATAATACATTTTATTAATGAACATGAAATTGCTAAGTAAAAAAAAAAAAGAAAAAAATAGTTAGTGGTTTTTTTCATTTTTGTAATTTAAATACACAAAAAAATATTTTTTTTCTTTTTTTAAAAGGAATTTAGTCGTCGAAAAATAGAAGAAAAAGTTATTGAATATGAAAGCTTATTGTGGTGTATTTTTGTTTAAATTAATATAAGAAAATTTTATATTAACTATAATATAATTTTTGTGTTTTGTAGTACTTACGTAATTTAATTTGAATTTTATCAATTATTTATGCTTGTTAATTTGAGAGTAATAAATTTGAATTGTTAAATATAAATCATAAGTAAAATAAATGTAATTAATATTTTATTAATTTCCTATTCATTACTTTTCTAGAATATTGAAAAAAAGGATTAACAACGAGCATATAGAGTTTCTTATACCATTTAAATGAATTTAAATTTGTTTTTAATACATAGACCATTGAAATGTATATGGTCTCCTTCATTGAGCATTTATTGTTTTTAAGAGGCATTTAAATATTTTAATAAAAATCCCTATTTTTATTAAAAATTTAAAAATTTATTATTTATAGTTTTAAATCACATATATTTTACTTATAATGTTATGATTAATATTTAACAATTCAAATTCACTTCTCGCGAATTAACAAATATAAATAACAAAACACAAAATAAGTTATACATTACTACAAACACGAAAATTTTATTATTGTTAATATAAAATTTTCTCTTTAAAATTCAAAGATAAAAATTTTCCACGAAAAAACTTCTTGTCAAGTTTTCTTCTATTTTTTAATAACTTGAATATTTTTTTCACACTATTCAATTCTTTTTTTCTTCATTTATCTAGTACTTTAATGTCTCTTTATTTTCCATAAAGCTATTAATTTTTTTCTCAAAAACGCTAATAATTCCTTGTATTAACAAATCTTTAACTCTAATAACTCTCAATAAAGACTTTTTTTTTTTTATCCTTTCTGTGTCCTTTTTTTGTCATGTAGGTAAGCTGGTAATAGTTCTGCATCCAACTTTTTTTCTTCTATTTTATCCTCTACATTTACTACCTGATTTATTTACTTTCTATAAATTACATTTTTAATTTATTAAATTATCATTAAGTGAATTTGCTAGAGTAATGAAAAACAAATTATTAAAGAGAATATAGAGTTTTCTCTAGTAATTAAATGGATTTTAAATCTAATATTAATGATATAAACAAATAAACTGCCATATTGCGGTTCATTGTGAATTTACATTGATAAAAATATGTATTTTTATTAAAAATATATACTCTTATTAATTATAAATTTTTAATTACAGAATAATTATTGCTTTTTATAAGTAATTTTCAGTAATTTAAGTTCACTGCTTTTAAAAATAATAAAAATATATAAATAATAAAAAAAAATTTTAAATATATTAATATCACTTAACGAAAATTTTATTCTCAAAAATTAAAAAATATTCTTATGAAATTTTTTCTTTCTAAAAAATTTTTCTCTTTTAATTTTTTTTTTTTTTAAAAATAAAATATATTTCTATAAAAAAAATTTAAACAATATATTAATTTTTCCTTTTCTTAAGTAGATTTTGTGCATGACTAATCCTATATTCTCTGCTAAACCATTAATTTTTATTCTTGTCAGGATTATAAAAACAATTAATAAAGAATTTCCAAATTTTTAATTTATTATTTTTTATTTCATTTTTTCCCTGCTCTTTCTTGAATTCGGATTATGTTATATTCTCTCTCATATTTTTATTAGATTCGGATTATGTTTTATTGTCTGTCATCTCTTTCTCAGATTCGGATTCTGCTTTATTGTTTGTCATGTTGTTCTTACATTCGCATAAAAATTTGTCAAATTCTGAGTCAAACTCATCCATAAATTTATCAATTTTTTCTTTTTTTTCATTATCTGGAATATTACTACGAATTATTGGATATAATAGATCATTAAATTTCTTATTTGAAAACATCTGAAAATCAACATACCATTTTTTTAGTTTCCATTCATGGTCCATTTGACTTGTCTCA